ATCTATGGCTGGGCTGTGCGTGAGCTTTGCTGACAGCCACGGCGCTCGTCCACGTCTCTGTAAAAGCGGGCTCTTTTGTCAGAAGTTGCAGAATTTGCTCTCGCCCTGGCCGTCGTTTTCTGCCGCGTGCCCAGCGTCCTGCTCTCCGTCGGTTTGTGGGTTCCCACCGGTTCAGTGGGTCAGGTTTTATGCTTTGACTTGTATCCGGGTTTTCTCCAGGTGTGAGATGTGAAAGCCATTTCCTTCACATTTCTGAAAGCTTCCCACCCTGTGGGCTCCTTTGAGGGAGCCCTTGCTTAGGGAGCACTCTCTTCCTTCCTGTACAGGGCCTTTGGCACCCCAAAGTAACTTTCCTCATTGAACAGAAGTAAGAAGATGATAGGATAGACATTGAGGAAGAAACGTTATTGTGGCATTCAGTTAGTTTTTGGGCAAGGTGTGAAGTTCAGAACAGGGGTAGGAGCAGCATAGATGCTGCTCCACCTCCTGAGGAGGCTTCAGTTTATAGCTAGAAATTCTCCTCCAAAACTGTCAGAATGTTCTTGTGTACATGACTTAGCATTTACCGTGACCCAAAGTATTTGTTGTTATGATGGGATGTTTGGTTGTGGTAAAGTTTGTAGGTTTTGCTGTGTTTTTTTAAAATGTGTTTGAATTGCCTTTTTCAAGTATAGGTTAAAATGTAAACTGTGACTGTAACAGAAAAATAATAACAGCAAAACCTGATTTGTGTTGATGATTCAACATGCAGTTCTCTCTGCTTTTCATGACTGGAACATTTGCAATGAAAACTCTGCTACAGGTTTGTTCCCCAAGAGGGAAATGTGTATTTGCAAGGATGCATGCTTGCACTGGAAGAGGTACCAGTGCCGTCATATAAAACTTAAGTTTAGAAATTATCATAACAGAGAGGAGAACCAGCATTGTGTGACTGGGGCATCTACCCTGTTATGCAAATATTAATGAACTGTAATTTCTACAGGTACTACTTCGGTTTAAATTTTTATTGTATTTTCAAAGTTTACCTAGAAAGCAAATTCTGATTACTGTTCAAGAAGCAGCACAGGGTTATTGCTAAGGAAATTCTGCAACCTACCAACCACTATGTGGGTGCTGTCAGTCCTTTGGACTACCTGGGTTTTGAACTCTGCAGATGTTCGCGTATGTTCCTTGATATTGAGTCTGTACTACCTTGGGGTACCTAAATGCTAAAATACTAGCATATTCCTCCTTTTCTTTTGGTTTTGTTAAATATGCTCATTCTTTCCCATGTCTCTGGGTGAGAGTCCACACAAATGAGAAACTGAGGAATTAGTTCCACACTAACTGCTATAGTGTACACAATAAGCCAGAAAAGAGGCCATGGGGAGACAGACTTGTGTTTCTCTAGGCTTTATTATGTCAATGACAGTTTTGGAAATGGAAAATTTGGAAGTCTGCAGATAGCGCATTGGGTTTGTGGAACAGTTGCGCAGCAGCAGCACTTCGCATCTGAATGTCTCCTTCTTTTATACTAAGACTTTTACAGAGAATAATAGGAGGCTGTTATTAGCTTGTCGGGCTTAAATGTACAGGGTCCTGTTTGCTAGGATTTGTATGTTTTGCTTCATACTGAGCAAAATGTAAATTGCCAAAGGAATTATGCTGGGCTTGAGTGATCCCTGAGGCCGCTGTGGTCAGGCATGTCAACTTGGATCACTCACCATGTGCTGGGCAGAGGAGCGTGGCTAGTCCAGTAGTCACATCTGGGGGCATCTCGATTGATTTGAGATGCCCGTAAGCATGGAAACTCAAATTAACATCTCTCTTTCTATAGTGAGTTGCCTTTTCTCGTGTGGTAGAACTACACCACAGCAAGTTGAAGACTGAGGGTAGCCTCACTGTTGTGAAAGGCAGGAAAGGGAAAATGTACAAGTACAGTGTTGAAGTTTCTTATTTTTTTCAGAAATAAATACAAGGAACTTTAAAATTTGTCTTTGTTCTGCTCCTTAGATTTTGAAGCAAGTTTTATTCGCCTGATTGACAAAGTGACCAATGGCTCTCGGATTGAAATAAACCAAACAGGTGAGATCTGTTTTCTCTTCCTCCTCTGTTCTGGTGTTCCGGGCTCTATCAGTTGCTGCAGTGAAATCGAACTTTTGGCTTGACAGAGATAGCTGTTCAGATATAATTGATGGAGAAGATCACAAATAATCAAGTTCTGTGGTAATTGATGGCATGCAAGATCATCAGCACTCCAACATAATTCAGAGAGTTAAGGAAACTCTGTTGTTCAAGAATTAAAATTAGCATTTTGTTTGGTATGTAGGATTTCATAGTGGAGGAAGGTCCCTCTGAACCAGAACAGATTTTTGTAGAAGGCAAGGTTTGCCTTCTGCAAAGGCAGACTTCTGAGCAAGGCTACTTGCCTAGTCATGCTCAGAAAAGCAGTTGGTTTGAGCAAGAAGCATCCTGTATAAAATCTCATCATCTTGTCCTCTTTTTTTTTTTTTTAAAAAAAGGATTTTAAGGATTATGGTTGGTCAGTAAAGCAGATGAACTAGCACCAAATATGCCAAGACAGCTATGACCTGATGGTCTGGTGAAGATTTAGCTGCTGTGGAGGATAAGAATTGCTTGTATAAGCATTTTGGGGATTGCAAAGAGATCCTTGAGTTTTGGGGAGAAGGAGAAAGGAGGAGAAATTATGTGCAAGACAGACAGACATCATATATGTTGGCCCACTTATTAGCTGCGGATATAGAAATAGCATGCTGGAAGTGCTGCCATCTTTCATAAATTCTTCTCTCTCCTATTTGCCTGTGTACATCATTGCAAGGTGTCTTTATGCCATAGTAATGGCCAGTGTGCTGACAGCGCTCCCGTTTGGTTTGCTCCCCTGGCATGTTCCCCAGGAACTACCTTGTATTATCAGCCTGGTCTGCTGTACGGAGGTTCGTTGGAACATGACTGCAGCCCCAGTCGTAGTATTGGCTACTATTTGGAAAGTCTGCTGTGCTTGGCACCTTTCATGAAACATCCACTGAGGATTGTCCTGAGGGGAGTAACAAATGATCAAGTAGATCCTTCGGTAAGTAATAAAATTTCAGTAGCACAGGAGGACTTTTATTTTTTTTTCCCCCTGAAAAAAAAAGATTAGGAAGAAGTTTCTAAAACATGTTGCATATTTATCATCCCTCACATCCAGAAGTATCCAATGTTACTGCATCTGCCAGCAAATTGATTTGAATCAAATAAGCATCTGCTAAACTGTTCTGTTTCTGCATCACACTCCAAACTGCAGTTTGTAATCCACCTTTTGACTTTGTTCTGTACTTCTGTCTTTTCCCCTGGAAGCTCCCTTTGAATGTGAGGCCCTGCCACTGGTTTGTTTCTCCAATTCTCTTAGAAATTAAGGTTTCTCCTTCCCCACACCTGTATTTACTCTAAAAAGAGGAAATTGTCTTTAAAATTTGAATGTGACAAGGAAGGAGTCTTTCTCTTCTGTTGGATGCTGGACGTAGTTATACCAGTGCTGCTGTTAGCTTCTGTTAGAAACAGAAGTCACATGACAATTATGAAATTACAGTAGCAAGAATATATAATAACTTTCTGATTCTTCAGAAAGACACTAGAAGGTATGGTAGATCAAACGACTACGAAATGCTTGCCTTGATTTCTGTTACTGCTGATTTACAGTCCTTTGTTTTAACAGTGTTGTTAGAAAAATGAGCTATGGATAACATGGGATTAAAACACCAAAGTAATGGTTAGTGGTTATGCTACTATTTTTTTCCCCAAAAAAAGCAAATATACTGGCTTTTGGAGAACATTGTCATGTGAAAACTTAACCGCTTTAAATGCGTACAAATACTATGAAGTATAATTGCAGATATTAGATGAGCCTCTGAGTCCTGCTGGTGTTTATGGCTTTTCAACTGTGCTCTTATCATTTAAAAACCTTGCTTTCTCACCTGTGGCTCTGTGAGACACCCACATGAGTCAAAGGATGATTGAAGTAGGTTATACACAGCACTGTGGGCTTAAAAAAAAAAAAGAAAAAAGAAGGAAATGGGAAGCATGGTTTGTTAAACTTTCAGTCACCGTGATTAAAAGTACTTAATAGAAATGGTAAGTAGTAAGAATCAAAGAAGTCACTTTTGATTGACTGTGTCTTTTTAATCACAATTGAGACATTCTTGAAGAATTTGGAGGTGAAGAGCAGTCCAAGCTTAATGTTGCTTTCAAGTAAGTTTAGACACTCACCTAAGCAAGTGACTCTTGATTCTGGAAATTATCCCTTTTCAGATATCAGCCACAGGGGCCAATAGAGGTTAAACAATTTTAATTGAAATGGGTGTGAGAATTTGAGCCAGTTATTTTGTGCTTGAAGGAGGCTTGCACTGACCAAAGCTCAGACACAGGTGAGTGTTGGTATACATCAGCTGAATCACAGTACCTGAAACTAAGTGTAAATAAAAGGCAGATGTGCATGCAGAGGAGTTGTATCTTAAGTTCATTGTGCTATAGAAGCACAGCTGTAGTTACTGTGACTCAGCTCATATGTGGTAACTTTTTAAGTGGTGATAACTGAATACCAATTCATAACACTGGTTTAAACCTAGTTTATGTCTGTTTAACTTGCCTGAGTAAACATTAAACCTGGTGCAGCAATAAACTACTTTAAGGAGTTTTACAGGACGTTTTGTGTAGCATATGGCTCTGCAGGTTGCTGAGACTAAAAGCACAAGTTTAAGTGCTACCCTAAGTGATTTGTGTGCTTAATTAAATGGAAACTTGGTTTTAAATTGATTTGGGCTTTTATTTTTCAGTAGGCAGAAGATGTTTAGAAACTGCGTGAACATTTATTGCCTGTGCTTGCCCAAAAAGGGATGCTTAAATTTGTCTATCTGTCTGTACACTCTCTGGCTTCCCAAGGAGAAGGAGGAAAGGCAAACCAATGTAAAAATACTGTGGGTAGTTTAAAATGGGCAAGGAGTTTTCCCTGATGCTCTTCTAAGAACGTCTCCATGTCAGCTTAGTAGGTGCAATAGGCAAGGCACCTGCTTATCTGTTTTGGAGAATTTTTATTGTTTTTATTTGTAAAAGGGATATTAAGTTTTGTAAATATGTGTCTTTATTTTGGAGCTAGATGAACTCTGTGGGATGTATCCTTGTATGAGTGTATCCAACATCTGTCACATGCAGATGAATGTAGAAATTCACATATGTGTGTATGAAAATATACATGTACGTACACACACATATATGCACACATATGTTCCTACACTACTTCCTTTGTGCTTGAAAGGAGAAGGTAGCCCATCCTCTCTCCATATCTCCTGCTTTCAGCCACACAGTCCTGTATACTCCAGAACCCCAGACAATTTTTAGAGCTTTCCTTAAGCCAGTTCAACTAACTGGCAAAATGGCAGAGTGCTGTACCCTGAGGTACAGGAGTAGCAGAAGTGTGTGTGCAGCCAGAGAAGTGGGACCTTTTCCCTCGTACTAGCAGTGAGCAGGTAGGCTGACCCACTGGGCTTTCTGAAATCTGCTCTCAGCTTTTACACAGCCTCAAAAAAATCTGCAGGATTTGATTGCTGTGTTGTGGGTTTGAGGTTGCTCTTTGTCAGAGACCCCCTTGTCAGGACGACAAAAGGGAACACGGCAGGTGTCCTGCTGTGGGGTGAGTGGATGTGGTCACGGCAAGGGGAAGGGTGTTTCTAAAGGATGGCTTGTGGAAGGAAAGACTTCAGCTGACTTCAGTGGGGCACAGGTCAGGCTGAGTTCTTGGCGTATAGGTGGTGTGTTTGTGTTAGCATTTGTTTATAGACGTTAATAGCCCTCCATTGGGGTGCAATGGAAAGTTTTTTGACAGCTGGTGCCATTCAGAAGGGTTGTCAGATATTGGAATGGGCTGCCCAGGGAGGTGGTTGAGTCACCATCCCTTAAGGTGTTTAAAGGTCGTTTAGATGTGGTGCTTGGAGATGTGGTTTAGGGGTTCACGTGGTAGAGTAGGGTTGATGGTTGGACTCGATGACCTCAAAGGTCTTTTCCAACCTGAATGATTCAATGATTCTGAAAGAATACTGTGGCCACTGAAATACAGGGTGATGTGTGCTTGCTCCAGGCTGGACTGTGGTGATAATAGTGTGTGAGTGATACATCCTAAATGAGCGAGAGGGTTACTACTTTGCCTACACTTGTTGGGAAGAGATGTGGCTTTGGAATACCAGCCTGAACTGTTTGCTGGCAGCCTACATTTGGATAATGTTTTTCTGAGTGACCACTGATAGGACCTGACCATGGGTAGCTTGTGGGACCAGACATGTGGGACTGGCGTATAGAGTTGAGGTAGTTTCAAGTTTCTCTGTATAGAGATTATGTGTGTGGGGGCTATCTTTGTAAAGTACCTTTTTGAAGGGAATGGAGGTGGCACACGAATGATCGCTCTTACTTTACTTCTCTATGTGTTGTTATTCTGACAGATATGTAGAGCTGCAGCAACATGGTTTTAAAATACTCATTCTTAATGTTTGAGTTTGCATGTATTGAAGGGTTTTTTTTTACAGCTATGCCATGAGATTTTCAACTGAAATGACTTTCATTCTGGCATGAGACTAGCATGTGAAGTTTTGGCTTGGGAACAGTAATCTTCAATGTTAATCAAAATTCAACACTTGTCTGTAATCCCAGGAAAACAAGTTTTTCCTACTGATTTTTCTGTTCTTTTTTTTAACTTGCTAAACTCTGGTTTCGCTCTTCCCCATCCACCCCCCAAGTCTAGGTCCTTGTCCTCAAAACCTAACATTGCATGTATGGCAGGGATAAATGCTCTTCTGTGCAGTGCTACTGGCTACACAGGCCAGCTAGTGCTTGCCCCTTTCCTAGGTAGCCATGTGCTGTATGGTCTATCTGGTTCTTTTCAGCTTTGCACTAGCTAAGGGATTCTGCAAACCCTTAAAAGTTACTTTGTACATTTCTTTAAAGGAAAAAGGTTTGTATCTCCACTAGTTTGTGAACAAGCAATGTCTATGGGACTTAGCAAATTGTTGGCGTTTGTGGTGAGGTACATCTGATCATCTTCATGGCCCTTCTTTGGACCCACACAAGCAGGTCCATGTCTTTCTTGTGCTGGGGGCCCCAGAGCTGAACACAGCACTGCAGGTGGGGTCTCATCAGAACAGAGGAGAATCACCTCCCTCAACCTGCTGGCCACACTTCTCTTGATGCAGCCCAGTGTGCCATTGGCTTTCTGGGTTGTGAGTGCATGTTGCTGGCTCATATTCTGTTTTTCATCCACCTGCACCCCCAAGTCCTTCCCTGCAGGGCTGCTCTTAATCCACTCATCCCCCAGCCTGTATTTGTGCTTGAGATTGCCCTGACCCAGGTGCAGGACCTTGCACTTGGCCTTGTTGAACTTCATAAGGTTTTCTGGGGCCCCCCTCTCCAGCCTGTCCCTCTGGATGGCATCCCTTCCCTCCAGCGTGTTGACTGCACCACACAGGTTGGTGTCATCAGCAAACTTGCTGAGGGTGCACTCAATCCTACTGTTCATGTTGCCAGCAAAGATGTTAAATAGCACGAGTCCCAATACCGACCCTTGAGGAGCACCACTCATCACTGGTCTCCACTTGGACATCGAGCTGTTGACCATGACTCTTTGAGTGCGACCATCCAGCCAATTCCTGATCCACCGAGTGGTCAGTCCATCAGATCCATGTCTCTCCAGTTTAGAGACAAGGATGTTGTGCCGGACAGTGTCAAAGCCTTACACAAGTCCAGGTAGATGATGTTGGTTCCTTTTCCCTTATCCACCATCGCTGTAACGCCATGGCAGAAGGCCACCAGGTTTGTCAGGCTCGATTTGCCCTTGGTGAAGCCATGTTGGCTGTCACCAGTCACCTCCTTACTTTCCATGTGCTCTAGCATATTTCCAGGAGGATCTGCTCCATGATCTTGCTGGGCATAGAGTGTCAGTATTGTCTTAGGTCAGCAATTAGGTGGACCAATGGCAAGGAAAATCCTGCTCAGACCTGGATCTGGTGAGCATCTGGCTCAAAGGCAGTATGTGGATGTGTGTCGCTCACTTCAGAGTCTTCTTTCTACAGAAGTTACCTAGAAGCTTCTGCTTCTCGGAAACATGAAAAGAAGTTCTTGACAGAAGGATGAAGGTCTTCCTGCCAAATCAAGAGCCTGCTCCAAAATGCAAAGGTTCTTGCAATCATCATTTATTTAGCTGTAGGAACTTTTTAGCAATGACAGAATATAATTTTTTCAATAACTTTTTCAGAGAAACAAATGAGCTGTTTTAGCTGAACCATAATAGAAGTAAAAATCAGACTGAGGAAGAAATCCAGAATAGGAAATTCCATCTCCCAGTAATTTATTCTAGCAGTTTTTTTGAGTAATGAGATACTGTGATAGTCTATAAGAGTAGCCAAAACACCTTCTGCTTCATTCCCATGTCTTTCCATGGAATACCTAGTATGGAGAAGCCTCATGTTTGTTAGGCACCTCATAATGCAATGATTTTTAAATTACTGAATTATTTAACTTCCAATAAAGAGTCTGTGTGTTTAATTCTGTGTTCTGTAGGTTGATGTCCTTAAAGCAACAGCTCTACCCCTACTGAAGAAGTTTGGAATTGATGGTGAAGGTCTGGAAATCAAGGTAAGACAATTTGTTCCTTTCTTTTCTAGCACATGTTGAAAACATACTTTTGCACTGCTTCACAGGGCCATATGCTTGCTGCTGGTATCTGTCTCTAGCAGATATCTAGTTGTAGCCACACACATTTCTAAAATTGCCTCTTGTTCTTGTTTTAAATGGCATACCAGCTACACAGTGATTGAAGATGTGGTATGAGAGATGCAAAGGCTATGGGTAGAGAGAGTAAGGAGAAAGTAGTGACTTTTCTTAGTCTCTGAAATCTCTGCAAGCTAAAAAACCTTCTTGCTTTCTTGTTCCTCTTCAGTTAATTTGGTTTCTTTTTCCTTCCACTTGCTCTTCCTGCCTTGTGCTTAGGGCTAGGGAGTAATAGAATCTTTCGCCTCCTTCACTGGTGGAGGAGCTGGATATGTGTTTGGGTGATGGAGGTTTGCTTCCAGTTTGGAAAATACAGGAAAGAAACTTTTCTTTAGAGACTACACTCTTTACAGACCAAATAAATCTGCACGTAGAATAGCTTTTTTTTTTTTTTTTTATGTTGGAGAAAAACTATAGCCTTTCAAAGTTAAGAATGCTCATTTAAAATCTGTGAAGGCCCTGTCTGTGCTACTGGTCTTTGCTTGCTCTGCTAAGCCTCCTGCCAGGAGCCTCTCACTAGGTGCCTCCCCCGACCCTGCACATGGCCCATGACCCCATGTCATAGCCCTGGGACTGTCACCCCTGCTCCAGCAATCCTGCAGCAGATCCAGCCTACAGCTCCCCACAGCCCTGCACTGCCTGGCCATGGGCCCCCTGAGCCAGAACCCGCCATGGGCGCATGTCCCAATCCCCATCCTCGTGGATGTTGGCTGGGGCGGTGGGACAGGGTCGGGCTGGCCAGGCCTGTTTGTGGAATGAGTTCATTCTGATCCCCCATATGCACACTAAGCATCAAACAAGACTTCCTTCAGCAGTGAGGTGCAGATTTGCTGTTAGAGACTGCTCTTAAGCCAAGGTTGCCTTCCTGGTAAAGTTGTTGGGGTTTTGTTTGGTTGGTTTTGTTTTGTTTTCTGTTGAGAAGCTGTGCCCTGCTGTACTTGAGAGAAAGGGGGGAAAAAGAAACCAACTCTTGCTCAAAGGTTTGTGCAACATCCATTTCTGCTGTTAGGATGTCTTTTTCTCACCTGTGTTTACGTAATACCCCTACTGATAGCATTTTGTCATATGTTAAATGAAAGGTATAATTTTTGAGTATGTAAGTACATTATTTGTGCTCTTTAACCTGTGTTTTTCATCCATTGTTGTTTCTAGATCAACCGGAGAGGAATGCCTCCCAAAGGGGGTGGAGAGATACTGTTTGCTTGCCCAGTGAGAAAGGTCTTGCAGCCTATTCAGTTCACAGACCCTGGCAAAATCAAGCGCATCAGAGGAACTGCGTATCCTTTGCTTTTTTTGTTTTTCTTCTTTCAAATGCATTGCCTTAAAAAAAAATAAGTCACCCAAAATGAAGTCACGGAAGGGCACCCATGTTGCTGAGCATGTATCTGGGTAACACAAGGTGATATTCAACAGAGGAATCACACAACTCAATTTCAGGACCATGTCTCAAAATTGCCGTGTTCAGAACATTGCTGTTCAAAAAGCATTGGTAGACAACTTAAATAAATTTAAAACTGAACAGCACTATTTAAAATCTTTTCAATAGCAAGAAAACATTAAAATGCCTTCCATCACATAATGTAACAGCACTAAAAGGAATCTTAACTTGTGTGTGAATGTGGGGGTTTTTATGCGTTGAATAGATGGCATTTTGTCTGTTAATCATTCCAGCAGAATGTTGGATGGGAGCTTAAATCTTAGTTTAGTTTACATCTCACAAATGTTTTGGGTAGCTTTTTTTTAATTTATTTTTCTTTTGTGGTTTTTATATGGTATCTGTCATGAATCTGATCATCACCGTAGGAAGAAAGCAGAAATCCCTTACAGGCAAGGTGTATACTAAAGGTTTTGTTTCATGAGCTCATGCTCTCTCTTGATCATTGCCCAACTTGTAGTTTAATTGTGATTATGAGAGTCCGAAACATGATCTGGCTTTGGTTGCTCAAAAGGAATTTTAATGGGGACAGGTTTCCTGCAGACTTGCAGCCTGTTCCTTCATTTACTTTATGGCATACCATCATAATTGCATGTGAGAACAGGACGCTTTGACCTCTGTTTCCAGCTGTGGCATTCGGATGAGTGCAGCATTGCCAAGTGAGAGCAATTTTACTGGGTGCATACGCTATAGAATAAAAAGGAGGCAGCTCATTGTGCTTTTGGTGGTGTCTTTCATGGTCTTGCCATGAAGAAAGTAATTTCCTTATGCCCCTGTCCACCCATGTAGTATGTAGTTCTATCCTCTGTTTTTGTGTGAAGGAAGAAGAATGTTCATGGCTTTAGTGCTGTCTTTCTAAGTTGATGTTAATATACAGCACCATTCTGGGCTACTTTGACTGGATTTGGTTGATGTATGTGAACTACAGATTTTTAAACTTCCACTTTTCTTTAAGTTTTCCTGGGCTTTTTCTCAGGGACAAAGGTTTCCCTTTAATAAGCCTGGTGAAAGGCAGTCTCATTTTAGTTTAGCCATTAAGTGATCCTTCAAGCCAGTAGAAAACAACATCTGTAAGGATAAGTGCTTAGGTCTTTTAGATGTGCATTTTTGCGTCAGATTCAACTGAGCAAATCTGCTTCCTCACAGCTGGGAAGCTTGTGTTGCAGCAATCTTTTTGTAGTCATCCAAAATACTAAGTGTACCAACTGTGTAGAATGATCAGTTTTCTGATTTTTTTTTTTTTAACTGGTTTTGCTCTTAAGATCTTAAAACTTTTGGTTTACCTACTTGCAAGAGAATACACCAATGCAAGCTGGGAGATTTGAGAGTGTTTTTCTCTGCATTGCTATGTGCATGTAGGTGCAGATAGGTGGTTAAATGTGCAGAGCATGAATCTACATCATAGTTGGGACGGAATCTGGAGCACGGTGTGCTTTGTACATATGCAGGTCTGTTGGGAATATCACTGAAGCAGCACCTGAGTAAAAGTGCAAAAAGGCAGCTCATCTCTTGTGTATTGTGAAGAGGGGGATTGCGGGGAGCAGGAAGGTGGTAATTTCTTCTTCCCTGGAACTCTTGCCCTCAGATGCTGAGTGACTAGATCACCAGTGAACTTGATAGCCTCACAGCACTGCAAGGTAGTCAGAGAGAGCAAAGATACTATTTTTTTTAGCATTTTAAAGTTAATTCTTCATTTGTTAAAACTGTCTTTAATATCATCTACCCGCTTTCTCCCTGATAGAAGGACAGGATTTCTTGCTGCTGATTCGGAGCAACTTCACCCATCAGCATCTTTTAGTAGTATATGAAGAGCAGAGCATGTAGGACTTCCTCCATCATAAGAAAGCACAGCAATTTAAGATTATTAAAGGGTATTTTTAAGATGGATGAGAAGCCGAGAAAACTCATGTTATTAAGCAGGTATTCTTTATTGCGGCGCCGGGCAGCACAGGGGATAGCTCCTTCTATACGTGCGCGCCCAAGCATTAGGATTCTTGCCTTATATTTACAGCTTTCATGTTTATTCAATACATTTCTAAGAAAAGGTTGGGTTCTTCTGATTATTTCCAGGAATTCAATAACATAAGTTCCTCCCATAGCCCTGCCTCAGTCTGCCCAAGTTATGCCTCCACCAGGGGTCCTTGGTGGTCATTGGGGATGAAGGTCTGAGCCTTCCTCAGGGTTGAACTTTTGAACTTGTCCTGTGGTGCATGTCCTGTACCATCCTGGGTCTTTTCCAGTTTGCAGAACCAGCTCTTGCTCGCTGCCCTCCCTATCTCTCCTGCTTAGTCTTTTGTGTTCCTTGAGCCCCACAGTCTGATTGAAGGGTTCCACCTGCTGTCCTTCGCTTGGCGGATTCTGCTTCATCCTTGTCTTTAAAGTGTTAGTTAGTCAGCGATGGATATATGCATAAGGGTTAGTACAAATCAGCCTCCCTCCCTATCTCTAAAGGCTGGTCAGCAGTTCTTTTCTAAAAGCTAGTTTTCTAAAGGCTAGTTAGCCATTCTTTATTACAAATGTTTACCTAGTCGTAGTAAGCTGTTCTTCTGCACGTCTCCTGTGTATCTCAGTTCAGGGTGTATCAGTGAAAAGACTGTAGAAAGCACTTAGACATATGTGCTTCTCTAAGTACAGGAAAATGGACCAGCGCTCGTGAACGGATGTATAGGAGAAAGCCACATTTTCCAAAATAATGCATTGGGACTTCTTGGCCACTTGTCAGTCTCTGGTTTAAGTTTCTTTTGTGACCACAATTAATTCCTTAGCTTGAAAATGTAGATACTCTGTCCGAGTGTCACCACAGATGTCAAACAGAATGGTGGAATCTGCAAGGAGCATCCTGAATAAATTCCTCCCTGATATTTATATCTACACAGATCATATGAAGGGGATCAGCTCTGGAAAGTGAGTATCCAGTACTCCCAGGGAACAGAAATGTAATTCTGCGTTTGTTCATCTGCTAGGGTATTCTGATCTGTAATTTTGTTGAGTTTTAGACCATGATCTTCTATTTTGCTGACTTGAAATAAATATTTCTCACAGGGAAAAAAGTGGAATGATTCACTAGATACATTTGTGTAACTCGTTGTACAGGGATAGAAGTTGTGTGTTTTCTTAAACAAGGAATATAGTATGTCATTAGTGGTACTAAAGGCAACTTGAGTTCTCCTCAGTTTTAAACCTGTTGCTTTGAAGTGAGATTAAGATCAGAGGTGTCATGGTAAGTTGTGAAAATCAACTCAAGCTTGACTGTTCACCCTCTGATGGAAATCATAGTATTAAGGATAGGACCACACTGTTTTAGAAGATGTTTGAGCTGTATGGGTTGTCTTCTGCTTTGCCATTACGTAAATAGCTGAAGGAGTGTCCATTCACCAGCAAGGACTGGAAAATTGAGACATTAGTTTACTGTAATTTCGCAGATTTTGTTTGCCAGCAGAACACTGAAGTGATGGATGCGACTGAGACAATTTTACTGATATCTATCAGCCTTGTTGTCGTCTTGTTACTTTTCGTTGAGGTTGAAGGAGTTCTGGATGACTAGTTTGTCTTCAGTCTGTATGCTCAAATCCAAGCACGCACATTTTCTTTCACTGTTCCTGCTTTTTTGAAATATTACTGTAAAGAAAACTTGTTAGTTTACAAGTTTACAAGTCTAAAAATTGTTGACTCGCTTTTAAGTATTTTTCCTCTTTTCCAATTCTTTATCATATTTAATATCCCGGGTTAGTAAGTCTTGTGGCTCCAGATGTTGCACTCCAGTGATTAGAACTGAAAAAACTTTCCTAGGAGCTGAGTGTTTTGGGGGTCCTATTTTGGTTTTTATCTGTCTATAAAGTGAAAAAGTCAAATGAATTGGGGCAGCAGCATTTTATTTACTACTTGCATGGGTACCCCATGCAGAGGGATAAATAATAGCCTGGGAAGAATCACTCCCCACCTTGCTGGTGCATGTGGCTTTCTGATACTGCCGTGCTGTCACATTCAGCATAAGTCTGGCACCAGTGCAATTGCGGTGTACCCGATACTAACATTGTGCCACTTTCTCAAAGCTTTTTTTATTACCTGGTTCCTAGTGCATGTGTGTATGTCTCTTAGCAAGACAAGGAAGGAAAACAATATGCCTCATTGTTTCCAATGCTGCCTCTGGTGATGAGTAAGACCTGCAAGGACTAGTTCAGTTTATCTACACCCAGCCCAAACAAAGCCCTGATTTGAGAATATAGAGTCTTGAGCTATATCCCTTCCACAGTGCCAAAACCTTCAGGAAATACATTACTTGAGCATCTTCTGCCACTTGTAATGTATCTTCCTGGTTCTGTGTTGAGTATTTGCAGCAAAAAGCTTGTGCAGATCCTTCTTAATACTGTCTGCACGTACATGAGGCACTGGATGATTTTCATTTTTATTTAGGCAGATTGCCACATGCTACTGAACAGTAACAAAATCTGCCAGGGGCTATAGATATTATACAAGGGATACTTGTCCAAAAAATACCATCTTTGACACTGTTCTTGTCTTGCTGTCTAGATATCTCTCTTTCAGAGGAAGTAAAGGAGAAGAGAAACGTCTTTAACATACTTTCTGTGTTGCTCAGCAAATGCAGGCCGTTAAATATGGGTGGGAACCACTGATTTTTTGTTGTTGTTGGTTTTTTGTTCCCACCCTACTGAAATGCCTCTGGACAAACTGTTGTTTTTCTGGCATTGGGAGAGTTTGTATGTATTGGTGTTCAGGGTTTGTTTTTGTGGTGTGTTGGTGACATTCCTTACAGTTTTGGGTCAATGAAACTATTCTAATTAAAAAGTTTGGGTGGTGGAGGCAGCAGGAGTCCAGAACTGTGGGAAATCCTGTATGTGGAGTAAAGTTAAGGTAGCCTTATTTTGAATGGCTAGCTATTGGTGCTCTTCCAGAGTCTACAAAGAACAGGATCTTGTGACTTCCTTTTTTTTCCTTCCTTCCTACTTGCTGATTCCTCAGCAAGCTGTACTCAGCCATCTGTGACTTTCTTGTAGCAAAGGTGTTTCTTAACTCTCACAATAGCATTTTGTAGGATCCTAAGATCTAAGGAAAATAAGGGAGTTTGTTTCTTTTCTTCAAATCGTGTGTTCAGAAGTCTGACACAGTTGTGATGATTTGGATGGTATTGAACTTAAAGTGAAAAGAAGTTGATTGGATCAAACCTTTTTTTTTTTTTTAATTCTTCTGCTTGGTGCCATGGCTATGGTC